CTTTGTCATACATTTTCCCTATATATATATATATATATATATATATATATATATATATATATATATATATATATATATATATGTGTGTGTGTGTGTGTTTTGGTTGTTTTTTTAACTTTTACAGTTAAATTTCTATTTCTGGTATGAACTCACTCCACACTGGGATTGATAAGACAGACAACTGATAATTTTGTCTGCCAAAATAGGCTATTCCCCATATGAGGTAATTTTTGGATTTTATTGTTTATTAATTTTATATATATATATATATATATATATATATATATATATATATATATATATAGCATAATGAGAACCCATGTATACTTTCTTAATATGTATATATAGAAAAAGTTGCAAATTAAAAAAATAATAATGTTTTATTTTATGAAAGTATTTATTTATTTATTTATATATATATTTGATATTTCAAATTGTCCTCAATCTTTCATCAACATTTAAAATTTTTATGACAGATTTGAGTTAGGAATATCCGAACAGTGATGTTCCATATCATGTGACGTCCACGTCTCGCGAAGGACGCTACTTGCTAACAAACAGTAATTTTAATTTATTTGTAACAAACAGTTATTTCTGATGAAAGATTGAGGACAATTTGAAATATCAAAATATATATATAAATAAATAAATACTTTCAAAAAATAAAACATTATTATTTTTTAATTTGCAACTTTTTCTATATATATATATATATATATATATATATATATATATATATATAATAATCCATCTTGAACATTTACAAATCTACTATTCATCTATGCATTGAATACTGCTGTCATATCTGGACTGGTGCTCCAGCTATTCATCTCGAGGTTCTTGACAAAATCCAAAGAAGGATCTGTCATGTAATCCATCCTGAACAGGCAACATGACTTCAGTTATTTCGTCATTGATGTGACGTGGCTTCCCTTTGTTCTTTTTTAAATATTTTCATGACAACTGCTCTGACAAGGTTTTTTTTCCTGGTGTCTGACTACATGAATTTAAGCATGCTACTAGATTGGAGATCCCACCTTTTTACTGTTGAAACAGCTAAATTCAACCACCACTTCTACTTCAACAGTTCATTTTTTTCTCACACTTTCTGCCTGTGGAATTCCCTTGCATTTACTTGCTTACCCGATAACTACAATCTTCAAAGATTTAAATGCAACATCAATAACTATTTTATATCTTCTTGAATTCCATCCATCTTTTGTTCTTTCCTCAATCCTCTCTATTCTGAGTCTTCTCTTTCACTCCATATGCCCCACTGTTTACTAGTGGCATTCCTACCTTGCTTGGGGTGAAATGATTAAATTTATATAGGATTAATATGAGTAAAAATTTGTGACTTAGCTGATTGATGCTACATTCACCATCCCGACTCCAGAGTTTTAGAGGTGGACCTGTTTGTTCACTCTTCAGTGTGTGTGTATATATATATATATATATATATATATATATATATATTTGGTTGGATTGATGTGAGTTTGTTAGCTCTATCTCTGATATTGAGTGCTTTCTAATAAGTACCGTGCATATAATATATAAATAATTATATATATATATTTATTATAAATTAATTGATTTAAATATGTTTCTTTTTACACACAGTTCCAACCATGTTTCAAAATAGAAGCTAAAACCCCCAATTTAATTTTGCAATTAAATTAAAAGCATTAGTTCCATTTCATCTTCAAGCAAATATCTTACTGTTCTTTCTTTTTATATATATATATATATATATATTTATTTATATTTATATACACACACTTTTCACATATATATATATATATATATATATATATATATACACTATTCAAAAATTATAACATGTTACAACAACACTACAAAAATAGCCCTTTTGTTTCAACACTTCTGGTGTCCTGTCAAATGATGGTTTTGAATGTAGAATAAAGAGTTTTAAAAAGTTCAGATCAACCAAACACCGCCTTAAAGGGGGAAATGCTGTTACATAAGCTACAATGACCAATCAAAATATAAGTATATGAAAATTCCAAAAACCTAACAAACCTTGGTTATGATTATTAATGCCTTATGGTTTGTTGTCACGTTTTTTGAATTTTCATATTCTTGTATTTTGATTGGCCATTGTAGCTTATGTAACAGTGTTTCCGCTACTGAGGGGTGTTTGGTTGATCTGAACCTTTTAAAACTCTTTATTCTACATTCAACATCATCACTTGATAAGACACCAGAAGTGTTGAAACAAAATGGCTATTTTATAGTGATTTTATAACATACTTATGTTATAATTTTCAAATAAATTACATTTACTCTACTCTGTATTTAGCACTCTTTGAAGAATAGTATTTTTGGTTATTGGAATTTATTCCATATATACCAATCCTATACTTGGGTGTGTGTGTGTATATATATATATATATATATATATATATATATATATATATATATATGTGAAAAGTGTATATAAATAAATATATATATGTATAAATATTTATATATTATATGTCTCCTGTACTTATTAGAAAGCACTCAATATCAGAGATAACCAGCTTTAAATATAACAAATAAACCCCCATTTTTTTTTCAAAAATTTAAAAGTAAATATAAATAATAATAATTTTTACCTATCATAATTTTACACAAACCCCACCACACGTATATACATACATGCGAGGAAATATTATTCAGTGGAAAAATAAATAATATGACATGTATACATTCACGAGACATTTCCGCCACACTTCCAATCTTTAAATTTCAACATTTCAACATACAAATGCGTATGTATAGACACAACACCAAACGTATACATACATATGTCATATCCAAAACTACCCACATATGTTTATATATGTATGAGTCTCGACGGACGACCAAGTATGTACATGTGTCTGCATACATCAATGTTTACGTTAGTACGATGACAAAACAAGCTTCCCCACCACTTCCACAATAACAACACCAATACAGAATCTACATAAACCCAAATTTTTTAAAAATTAATCAGTTTGTCTCACGATTGCTAAAGCGTGAAAGAAAAGGGTCACAAACTCACATCTATCCTTTAAAATATATATATATATAATCGACTCTCCCGTTGGCGTTTGACTTTATGAGGGTCAGGCGATAAGTCCCCAGGAAACCAATTTATCCCAACACCGCACATGAGATTTGATTATAGTGGTGAAGGCCTCGTGCAGGACCAGCCACACTTTTTGGAGGGACGAATACAGAAACCTGGTGCACCAAATACATGCCACAAGGTTCCCCAAACGACCCTTTAGGTTTTAATTCAGAGTTGTCCTTCTAGACCAGTTGCCATCCAAGGCTATAGACCCAGTCTGTCCTGCTATTTTACCCATAGCTGGAGGGAGATGAAGAGGATACATACCTTTCCCAAGATGAAGAGGATACATACCTTTTCCATTAGCACGTAAGTGAATGTAATGGATTCGACTGGAATTCGAACTCGGCTCTGCGATTCCTCAATCCAAGCCGTTATCCACTGCTCCACCGTATATATAATTTATTCAGTTAGTGCATTTTGTACCACTGTGGTCACTACTCACCTCCATGGTTTGAGAAAACCTGACTTAGACCATTGGAAGACTGTATATGAATCTTAGTGCTCAGTGTCATTCTTAAGTTTAAAGACATTGATCTCCAACAAGAGCAATGGACTGTTGATACTGAGATTCATATATTCCAATCAATTGATTTGTAGTGAGAGCATTACATTGTTATTTGTTAGATCTGTAATTAAATTGAACCTTGGTGCAAACATTGATTTGTGGTCTGGGAACACAACAATTAAATATAGAATCTTTCAAATTTTGTTAATTACTCAATGGTTAGAATGTTTGAATGTTGTCAGTGAGCTTTATTTACTGTTACATTCAGTCAAGCACTTTAATGCTGATTCTTGTAATTGTATCTAATACAATCACACCATGTGATTAACTCATGTTTAAAGCATTGGGACATAGTCTGCAAGAGTCATCGTCTGCAGCAACAAAAGTTAAACCTTATGATTCAATTCTATGTGAAGGCCCTATGGTTAGAGCATTGGGCTGCTGAAAATGAAACATACATTTGGATATTAAATAGGTAATTTTGAAAGATGAGTGTCACTCTGAAAGTAATGCCTCCTGATTATTGCCTCAATAACTACAACAGATATGTCTTATGGCCACATCATATTGAAACACGGGTTCCTGTACGATCACCAAAGTTAAGCAATGTTCATTACCTAGATGGGTGCCTACATGGGAATACCAAGTGCTATAAGTTTGAAGTAATATATATATGTTTATATATAGGATTGGTATAGACGGAATAAAATTCCAATAATCAAAAAATATTATTCTTAAAAGAATGCTCAATACAGAGTAGATCAAATAGTATTTATTCAAAAATTATAATGTAAACATGTTATAACATCACTACAAATATAGCCATTATGTGTTATAATTTTTGGATAAATACTATATATATATATATATATATATATATATATATAGTTTGTCACTTAGCTGATTGATGTTACCTTCAGCATCCTAACTCCAGAGTTTTATATATATATGTATGTATGTATGTATAATAAAAAGAAAGAACAGTAAGATATATAATCCGGCATTCTTATTATTTTTTATTTTTACAAAACAGTGCTCAATGTAAATTTACAGAGCATAAATATTATAAATTAACTGATTTAAAAAATTTTTTTTCTCTACACAGTAATAACCATGTTTCAAAAATGGAAGCTAAAAACTTTAAATTTAATTATATAATTAAATTAAAAGCATTAGTTCTGTTTCATCTTTAAGTGAATATTGGAATAACTAATGCTTTTAATTTAATTATATAATTAAAATTAAAAGTTTTTCCATTTTTGAAACAATTATTATTACTGTAAATAAAAAAAAAACATATTTTAAATCAGTTTTATATATATATATATATATATATATATATATATATATGAATCCAAAAAAACAGCAAATATA